ATTGGGTCGCCATCCTCCAGGTGGCACCTGGAGATCTGCTGTTACAATTGATTTTCTGGTGACCAAGATCAGTTCCCTGGAGAAAATGGCAGCTTTGGAGGGTGGAGTCTCTGGAATTATACCCCATTGAAGTCCCTCCCCTCCCCAACCCCTGCCCTCCCCAGGCTCCACCCCCCAAATCCCTAGGTGTTTCCCAAACCAGAGCTGGCAACCCTAGATAAGTGCGTAACAACTGTGATAGAATCATAGAGTTGGAAGGGACCTCCAGGGTCATCTAGTCCAACCCCCTGCACAATGCAGGAAATTCACAAATACCTCCCCCTGCACACCCCCGTTGACCGCTGTTTTCACGTCCAGAAGATGACAACCAAACACACCAGGATCTCCAGCCGAACTGGCCTGGAGAAAAATTGCTTCCTGACCCCGAGCTGTTGATCAGCATTTCCCTGGGGCATTAAGAAAGGGCCACAAGAAGGGGACTCAAGAACTAAGTAGTGTTCACTGCTCAAGATCAGTATATTGTAGAGCTTTTATTGGATGAAAGGAAAGGAAGCATATAATTGCTTTAAACAGTGAAAGTGCAAAGCACCAGAAGAAAAAAGTAGCAGTATAATTGTGATAGCACTTATACATTTATACTGCACTTTCCTCTACATGTTCAAAGTGTGCCTTTACATACATTACTTTGATGGAATCTTTACGGCAATCCTATCCGTTCAATCTTAGTCCATTTGCAGAGTCATCATGGCACTGCAGAGGTGTACCACCAGTCAGATTCTGCCAAATGCTGCTTTGACTCTTGTCCTAAAATGTTAAAGGCCGGAGGGGTGGTGGTGGTTGACCAATACCAAACGGAGCTGAAGTAAACATCGAGGGATGATGCAGGCCTTTACGGCAGGTGTTCTTTGAAGGGCCCTGCCCCACCTCTTGCTCGTCTTGTTCCTTGCTTGGGGGTGACCAGACTGCTCAGGCATTACATCAGGGTTCATCTTTGTTCTCTAGCCTAACTGATTGGGGGGGGGCTATTCCTGTGTCTGGACAGATATTGGTGAGTTGAGGGATCCGTGGCCCAGCCCTGAGCTGTCAGTGAAGAAGCCCCCTCCGGTGGCTCCTGCCTTCAGGCCTGGAGAGCCCATGGTCCAAGGTAAAGCTATCCTCTTCTGCTCTGACGTATCTGTTTTAGTTCTGAAAGAGATTGCAAGCCTGTTTCTGTCGTCTCCTCATGTGTGGCTGCTATCCTTGTCTTGGCACACAGGATTTTGGCCCAGGGTGGATCACTCCAGTTACTAATACAAACAGCAGCAGCCTTCATTTCATCAAGGACACCAGAAAAATCTGGCCTGAGCGCTTGGACGGGACACAAAGCAAAGTGGCAGAACAGAAATTGGTCTAAGGTTTAGTGGAGTGTCCCTAGATGGTCATAAGGACCCTGGCTTCCTCCCGTGCTGTAAAACCTGATGGAGGAAACGAAGTCTCATAATTTTAAGACTGAGATTCCCGTGGGGGCATTTTCTTCAGCACTAAACCTGCCACCTCTTGCTTTGCTGTCATTTTAATCTATTTTTTGTATTCAGGGCTCTTTTTGTAGAAAAAGCCCAGCAGGAACCCATTAGCATAATAGGCCACACCCAACAGCAGGAACCCATTAGCATATTAGGCCACACACCCTGATGGAGCAGCTCATTAGCATATTAGGCCACACCCCCATATTACCAGAAGTGTGGTCATCCAACCACACCCATCTTTTGCTTCTTATTCTGTTTACCTTGTTTGTTGTCCAAACCCAGGGCCTTTTTGTAGCAGGGACTCCTTTGCATGTTAGGCCACACACCCCTAATGTAGCCAATCCGAATGATTGCCTGCTGTTGGGTGTGGCCTATTATGATAATGAGTTCCTGCTGGGTGTGGCCAACTTGGGAGCCAGCCGGAACTCCGTTCCTGTGCGTTCCTGCCCAAAAATAGCCCTGGGTATCATGCAAAATAAGGGCTTTTCTTTATTGCCACTGTTTTACTGCGGTACCTTCAAGTTCCTTTTTTTATAATGTTGGCTTTGAATTATGGCTGCCGGTTTCATCTGATTAAATCATCTGATGGATTATTTTGTCTGATGGTTTAACTGAGATTTTATGGAATTTGCATTTTTACTGCTACTAAAACCAGTTTGCTGCTTGTTTTATCTGTTTTAGTGAGGACGTATTTTAGGCCTTCTTGTTACTTGGGGTGTTTTTTTACAGAAAGGTGACTAATGTGTCCCATAAATAAAGAATATAAGGTCCGAGCTCTTAAAATAAGTTAGGGTGAAATTCATAACGTCACTTCAAACAGTGGTTGAGGAAGCTGAATCCTGGTTTGATGTGCTGTCTGAAATGACAGGCTGGTGTGGTTTTTTTTCCTATTAAAAAAAAAACCCTAACTGCTAAACCAGAATCAGAACCCCTGGTTTGAACTGAGTTTTTGTGAGCCAGGGTTCAGTCTAACCGTGGTTCAGCATGGCATCATGGTTGACAAGCCATGATGTTGAATTGGATTGGAAGGCAAAACTGGAGCTGCCCATAAGAACATAAGAGAAACCAATGTTGCATTCAGGCCAGTGGCCCATCCAGTCCAACACTCTGTGTCACACAGTGGCTGAAAATACCAGGTGCCATCAGGAGGTCCATCAGTGGGGCCAGGACACTAGAAGCCCTCCCACTGTTGCCCTCCCCCCCAAGCACCAAGAATACAGAGCATCCCTTGCCCCAGCCTGAGAGTTCCTATCTATGCCTTGTGGCCAATAGCCACTGATGGACCTCTGCTCCAGATGTTTGCCTAATTCTCTCTTCAAGCTGTCCATGCTTGTAGCCACCACCACATAAGAACATAAGAGAAACCAATGTTGCATTCAGGCCAGTGGCCCATCCAGTCCAACACTCTGTCACACAGTGGCTGAAAATACCAGGTGCCATCAGGAGGTCCATCAGTGGGGCCAGGACACTAGAAGCCCTCCCACTGTTGCCCCCCCCCCCAAGCACCAAGAATACAGAGCATCCCTTGCCCCA